GAAAGAGTTTCCAAGCCAATTTTTTATTCTCTTTAGGTGTGGTATGTCTAGGGCATGTGTACAAGGAAAGGGCTGGATGCTTTCAGAAACCTTTCACAGTAAGCTTTGCTTGCAGAAACGTCAAGATTTGGCCTCAATAATGGAAGAAGGTAGCAAAGGCTGGGGGAGAGGGGAGATTTGCTCTTAAATCCAGTCTTTTGGTATTTAAAGCTCCATCTAGGTGAGCAAAGTAAAAGCTGCCTTCCTTATCATTCTCCTCTCTTTCTAGGTTTCCATGAAGATAAGCAACTGAAATGTGGATAGCCTAGTTGTAGCTTGGTGGCAGTAGTCATCTGGAAGCTGCTGGTGAGCCATTGGCTGCTGAGAGCCATGAAGGTGGTCCCAGAGAAGAACGCTGTCCGCATCCTGTGGGGCAGGGAACGGGGCACCCAGGCACTGGGTGCTCAACGCCTCCTCCAGGAGCTGGTGGAGGATAAAACCCGGTGGATGAAATGGGAGGGCAAGGTAAGGCTGTGGAATACACGTGCATAGCTTCATCTTGGAGTGGGGGAAGGGGAGGCAGGGATTTGGAATACATTGTCTCCTGGTTGTATGTTCCATGCGTTACACTTGACGTGTTCTCTGGGCCTGTTCAGCTCCTGCAGTGATGTGATCCTAGATACGTTGCTGCAGCCAGTTCCCCGTGCTGTCTGTGTGGCTTACAGTTGAAGTAGGATCATATGACACTTGCAACACTTCCTGCTTTGTTGGCTTTTTCAGAAAGTTGAGTTACCAGACAGTCCACGCTCCACCTTCTTGCTGGCGTTTAGTCCAGACAGGTAATTAACTCCTTGTTTGTTCCCTGCTTCAGCAGCCTCCTTACACTTACAAAAGCCACAGGGGCTTGTGCCCCTTGAGTTGTCCAGTCCTGAACAGCTGAGGGAAACTTCTGGTTCCTGACATGCATGGGTGGGATGTGCACACCTTCCTGATCTCACAGCTTTGGGCATAGCTGGTGTTTAGTTTCTGAGGGACTGAAGCAACGTGTAGTTCTAAGGAAAAAAGATCTGTGCAGCCACTGTGGGATTTCATAAGATGCTTGAGGGAGTAAAGGATGTTTTAGCACAACATGCCAAGTGATGTGGCACACACACTGGGCTACAGAACAGAGTTATGCATGTATTGGAAGCAGAAATGAAGGTGGGATCTCTCTTGGTGTCAGTTCATTTGACAGTGGTTGAGGTAGTGTGGAGAACTGGGAATATTTATTTGCCCCAAACTGTCATTTGGGAGTCCCTTTTGCGAGCTGCTGGGTTAGGTGTGAACAGCCCCTATTGAGATGAAGCTAACCAGGGTCTGGTTTTGCTATACTCTTCTCACATTAATATTTATCCTACCTTCTGCATTCCCAGGACCCTGATGGCTTCCACACACGTGAACCACAACATCTACATCACAGAGGTGAAAACGGGCAAGTGTGTTCACTCCCTGGTCGGGCACCGCCGCACTCCCTGGTGTGTCACCTTCCACCCCACCATCCCGGGCCTCATTGCTTCAGGATGCCTGGATGGGGAGGTTAGAATCTGGGATTTACACGTAAGTTTTTTTTTCTGAAACATATGTGGGTTTGGTATTTGGTGGGTGTTGACTTGTTTTTTGGCCTGAGTTTTTCCCAAACGTTGCCTGGTAAGAATGCTGTTTGGAAGCTCTGCTGGAACTTGTCTTTAAAAGCATAGAACAGATGATAGCTGTCCTCTTCTGCCTAGAGAGGAGATGACAGATTCTTCATCTGATCCCACCAGGTAGGTCATGCTCCTTAGACATGTCTGTTTATTTGATTAGAGTGGTACAGAGAATGCTGGAGAACTTTGTGCAAGGTGCCTGTTTAGCTTATGTGGAAGATGTTCTGTTTTTCATTCCACTGAGCATATCAGAACTCTTCATGAGAGAAGCTGCTGCTCTGCCAGTTCTACCTAGCCTGGTGATTGACACAGAGACAAAACACATCCTTAGCTGGTCACTTGGAAATGCAGCATTTTTACAGGCTGCTTGAGGCAACTACATGCAAAACTACATCTGTGATCATTGTTGCAAGTAGTATTATGTTCTAGACAGGACACGTGGCCCTGTGTAAGAGCAGCTGCTGTTGTTGCTGAGGAAGCATCTTGTTTCCATGCTCTAGGTAGAGTCTTGGGGAGATGTCACATACCTGGAAAACGAATGATCTCAAACTTTGTGATAAACTGCTTGTGATTCTTGACTCCTCACCCAGGGTGGAAGTGAGAGCTGGTTCACAGACAGCAACAATGCCATTGCATCCCTTGCTTTTCACCCCACGGCTCAGCTCCTGCTGATTGCCACTGCCAATGAGATCCACTTCTGGGACTGGAGTCGTCGGGAGCCTTTTGCAGTGGTGAAGACAGCTAGTGAAATGGAGCGGGTCAGGTGAGCCCCTGCTGCTGTGGAAGGGAAGGCTTCCATGTGAAAGGTGGTTGGGTTTGGGGAGTACTGAGCACCTTGATGTGTCCAGTTTGGGGCACCACAGGATAAGAAGGACATGGAGGTGCTGGAGTGGGTCCAGAGAAGGGCAATGAGGCTGGTGAGAGGGTTGGAAAACTGCCTGAGGAGGAGCAGCTGAGGGAACTGGGGTTGTTTAGTCTAGAGAAGAGGAGACTGAGAGGTGACCCTATTGCTCTCTGCAACTACCTAAAAGGAGGTTGTAGTGAGGCCGGTGTTGGTCTCTTCTCCCAAATTACTGATGATAGGACAAGAGGAAATGGCCTCAAGCTGTGCTGGGAAGATTTCGATTGGATATTAGGAGGAATTTCTTCCCTGAGAGAGTGGTCAGGCACTGGAACGGGCTGCCCAGGGAGGTGGTGGAGTCACCATCCCTGTAGCACTTGAGCCTGTGGTCTAGTGGTTGGGCAGATGTTGGAATGAAGGTTGGACTTGATGATCCTGAATGTCCTTTCCAAGCATAGTGATTCTATGATTCTATAGGAAGGTTTTCTCTGGGATGCTGCATCCCCTGTGCTGAGGCAGTGGAGAGAAGTGTTGCAGCAACTCTTAGAAGAGTTGCAGCAACTCTTAGAGGGCAGGAAAATTTGCAATTTGAAGTCATAGCTTGGTTATTCATATTTGTAATCGGATGTGTGCCAAATAAATGCCCAGAATCTACTTCCAGTTCATATGCAAGCTTAATTAAACTCGTCAGCCATAAGGATGAGAGAGCCCAGAAGTTGCTGGAAGAGAGTGCTGGGCTCTTACTTTGGTGCAGTTACAAAGGAAACGTGATGCCTTCTTTTGAGCAATTATAAATGAGACAAGGATGTAAGATTCAAGGCCAGTTAACCTCTCTCTTTGTACCAAATTCCAATTAGCAATACATATGTACACATTCCTTAAAATTTGTGGCTGTTTCAGTTGATACAGCAGTACTTGCTTCCAGCTTTTAAATCCTGGGTGGTATTGTTGTGGACTATAAAATAGCTGCAGTCCTCAGTATGTTTTCTTCTATTTAATGCATAAACTTTTTGACATCCTTTCAGAAGAAAACAGTGGTAATGTAGTAGCCTTCTCAATGCAAATGCTTCCGTGGGGTTTTCTTCCCTGCTGTGTCCAGCTTCCTGTGCCAGTGTGGAATGTGAACTGAGGATTGATACTCTGGCTCTGCTTTTGTTTTAGGCTGGTACGGTTTGATCCCTTGGGACACTACTTGCTCACAGCAATTGTTAACCCTTCTAACCAGCAGGTAAGGGAATGCCAGTACCTCTATTGACTGGCTAATGACAACATGCTTTACATACATTACCTCTAGTCTGTCCCTAAGCTGCCTCCCTGCTTCTCTGAAAACCTGAAGTCCTTCTAAGCAGAGCTCGGTCTCGCCTTAATTGGTCACATGGCTGCTCTTGCCCTGTGTGCAGGGCTATTGAAGAGCTCTCCAAAGTGCCTTTGTTTTGCCCTGGCTGTCTCATTAGTGGTGGGACAGCTGTCCCAATGGCCCTGCTCTTTGAGTTCTGTTGTGACATCCTGCTGGATGGGAGGTATTAACAACGCTCCCCACAGCTGCTGCCCCTCAGATGCCGACGCTTCTGTCGGTGTGAAGGACGTGTTGTCAGAGCTCCCTGGGCTGTAGGAGGAGGTTGTCTGGACCCATAAACTGAACTTGGAAGCGGTCTCAGCCGGCTTCCTGCAGGAAGGGGCTCGTCCCATCCTGTCATCTTGCCGGGGGTGGTAGCTGAGGTGGGGCTGTCTCTCCCCGCAGAGCGACGAGGAGGTGGAGATCTCGGTGGACAGCGCGGAGCTGCCGCACTACCGGCAGCGCGCCATCCTCCCCTCGCAGCCCGTCCGGCGCACGCCCCTCCTCCACAACTTCCTGCACATGTTGTCCTCCCGCTCCTCCGGCATACAGGTGGGAGAGCAAAACAGTGTTCAAGACTCTGCTACCCCATCCCCTCCACCGCCTCCACCACCACCACCTCCGCCTCCAGCCAGTGAGAACACAAGGGCATCTGTCTATAACAGGCTCCGGGAGCGTGTCAGCTACCCCACAGCAGAGTGCTGCCAGCACCTGGGGATGTTGTGCCTTTGCAGCCGATGCTCTAGTGCAAGACTTCCTTCTTCTCTCTTCCCACACCAGGAAAACGCACCCTCTACGTCTTCGGGGGCCACTGGCACTTCCTTCTCCTCTGTGCAGACAGAGCCTTATCAACCCCCAGAGCAGGCATCCGTAGTGCAGGAGGAGCAGGGGATACTTAACAGGCCCTCTGCTTTCAGCACAGTTCAGAGCAGCGCCGCTGGCAACACCCTGCGCAACCTTAGCCTGGGCCCCACGCGGCGGGCCCTCAGCGGGCCCTTGGCAGGCCACCAGTCCCGGTACCAACAGTCTGCAAGAGAGATGGCTTCGGGCTTAGGTGGGTCTGACTGGTCCAGGACAGTGCTGAACATGAGCTCTCGGTCAGAGCTGGAAGCCATGCCTCCCCCTAGGACCAGTGCCTCCTCCGTGAGCTTGCTCTCGGTGCTGAGACAGCAGGAGGGAGGTTCCCAGGCGTCGGTCTATACCTCTGCAACAGAAGGGAGGGGCTTTCTGGCCCCGGGGGCTGAGGCGGACGGTGGGGCTGGTGCTGGCCCCAGCAGTGCGGCCAGCGTCCGTAACGAGCTCCACTGTGATTTGAGGCGCTTCTTCCTGGAATATGACCGGCTTCAGGAGTTAGATCAGGGCCTTGGTGGGGAGCCCGGCCAGTCGCAACAGGCTCAAGAAATGCTCAACAACAACATTGAGCCTGATCGGCCTGGTCCCTCCCATCAGCAGACTCCACACAGCAGTGAAAACAGTTCCAATTTGTCCCGGGGTCACCTGAACAGCTGTCGCGCTTGTCATAACCTGCTGACCTTTAACAATGACACGCTACGCTGGGAAAGAAGCACGCCTAGCTACACCCCAGGGCAGGTCCAAAGCACGTTTGAGGGTGTGCCTCCAAATACCAGCCAGGTGCAGCCTGCAGAGAGAACCGAGGGCAGAGCTCCTGCCTCTAGCAGGCTGCAGCTGGGCAGCTCTTCCACCCCGCAGGAGGAGAGGACCGTGGGAGTGGTCTTTAACCAGGAGACGGGGCACTGGGAAAGATTTTACAGCCAGTCGGCTTCAAGCAGACCTGGGAATGTATCACAGGAGGCCTTAAACCAGGAAATGCCTGAGGAGAGCTCAGAGGAGGATTCACTCAGGAGGTAAGATATATGCTTGGCCTTCCTCCTCTATTTTTTTTCCTTTTCCCATCTAGTCTGAGCTTTTCGCTGTTTTCAGAGTTAAAAACCTTCTCTCACATGGTTGTTTGCTATGTACCTAGGTGAGAACAGAGATGTTGCATTAGTATCTCTTACAGCTCCCATTATCATGCTGCAGATAGGTTCTGAAGGTTTTAAGGGCATAAACCAGACCTCTCAGTGGGAAAGGAGGATGATCATCCAGGCAGGCAAAAGGATGGGCTCTGGCAGCAAATCTTGGGGGAACTCTGCTCCTGGTGTCCCCCAGACACTGCAGATGGGTGGGAACATGGGCTGTGCTACACTGTCCTTTGTGCCCCATGTCACACGTGTGCTGCACGCAGACAGTCTGCCCAGGGTAGGGTGCAAAAGTGGGTGTGAGTGGTAAGAATTGCATTTTTGTGTGCTGTGTCCTGTTGAGGTTGTAGATCTTGAGCTGGAAGGGGTAACAGCCATTTCCTTCATGTTCTCATTAAGGCAAAAAAAAAAGTCAAAGTACTGTGTCAGTGGTTTGGGAATATACCTTAGTTGCAGGTGTTTGGTCAAACCCATGTGGTATATTTGCCTTTGAAGAGCTAAGTTGTGACAGTGGCCCCTGTTGACCCAAATCTAGGGTGAGCTGTTTGGGGGCATGCTGATCACTGAAAATTTTAACATCTACTGTATAAGAAGGCGATTCATTTTTGGAAGGGTATTTTTTTTTTTCTTATGCTTCAGATGTCTTTCAAGAAATAGAATGAGCCAAATTGAACTTGTACCAGGAAGGAGCTGTGCTTTGTGAGAAAATGTCTTCACTGGCTTGTATGGACAAACCATCTATGTTGGTACTTTACATGGAGTTTTCCTACTCAATTTCAATTTCACATCCTCTCTGTCAAGTGGTTTGTGCTCTTCTGAGAGGAAAAGTCTAGTCTTGCTCTTTCTTGGAAATGGATGCTTTGTGCTGTAGGAAAACAAAGCTTCCAGGTTGGATGCAGATGTAGCTGACTGAAGGAGGCTTTGTACACAG